CGAACCTCCACTGCCAAAAATCTCTCTAACCCCATAACGCCGGCCACTGTTGTGAAAGTGGCCCCTTCGTATGCAGATGTCATTTCCACTCCACTTTGAAAAGTAACTCCTGCAGCTGCACCGCAGTAGAAGCACCCAATTAAAGGGCAGGGATATTGTCTGCCGCACCGCCCTCACGGACAGACTCGACTCCCTCGTTCACGACACCCAGGCACGGTGCGTGTAGCATGTCACGGACAGTTGAGATGTGCCCCCGCGATTCGCAGGAACCTGTGCAGCAGAGGAAGCTCCCTCCGAGATCTCAGTGCCCTTTTGTTGTCAATCTTCCCGAGGCCGAGGCCACCACTGCCCAGGCTCGCCTGAACCACGACCTGCAGCTGCTGAGGTCACACACCTTGTTTGATGGCGACGAGGTGAAACCAGCGGCATCGATCAGAGCAAAAGCGGCATTCAGGCTTGGAAAACCCCGCCAGGAGAATTCTCCACGTCCATTGAAAGTGGTTCTTCGAGCAGAAAGCGAGGCCAAAGCGACACTCCAGCAAACTCACAAGCTAAAGGGAGCTCCGGTGCGATTCCTCAGGGATCTTGCTTAGGACCAGCGCAGTAAATTGAAAACTGCATTAGAAGAACTCGGGGAGCGTCGTGCAAAAGGGGAAACTGATCTGTGTATGCGGAATTTTTGTGTGCATCGGAAGCGCCCTTAGTTGTGTTGGCTACTCTTGGTAGGAGAGGACCCAGGAGACTGTTTAACCACGGACGGGGGGATTAGCTTGAGGCGCGAATGGTGAGATAACCACGCTGTGCAAGCCTCAACCAATACCCGAGGGATGCTGGGGAAAAGAGATGAGCTGGAGGACTGAGTTGTATCCCACACGCCCGATCTTTTAGCAATCACTGAAACGTGGCTGACACCGGAATATCTTTCCACGGATACACAGTGTTTCGAACGGATCGATCATCCTCACGTTGCGGTGGTGGAGTTGTACTTTTTGTTCGCTCGGGTCTCTCTGTTCGAGTGCTGGACATTTACGCCCATCCGGAAGTATTTGTAGAAGCCCTGTGGTGCAGAATCAAGCTTTGTGCCGGAGGATATACCACAGTTGGAGCGATTTACCGCACACCAGCTGTGTACGTCCCAGAGCTGCTGGCCAGCATACAGAGGTATGCCTGCGATGGACATTGTCTTGTCTTGGGTGAGTTCAACGCATCCCATGTTGATTGGGAAACTAACATCTGCCCTCAGCAGGCAGTTTTGTCTTCCAGAGAACTTCCTTTCGCTGTCCTGGCCCTATCGCTTGTTCAGCATGTTCCTGTGCCCACGCGGATAGTTGGGGATCACAGATCCATCCTTGACCTGGTATTTTCGCTGAGGCAATCAGATACGACTAGGATTGACCTCCTCCCACCAATTGCATCTAGTGATCACTCCGTTCTGCGTATACACTGGAGGCGTGGCGTACCCAAAACCGACAGACCACAGGACGGACGGAATGTGTGGCGCTCATCCTTTCCGGAAATGTGTCAGGCTGCATCGCTCACAAATTGGGATCCCGGAAACCTGAGGATGTGGATGTATCCTGGAGGTTGGTTCGTCATATAATCCAGCAACTCCTACAGGAATCCTCACCGCCACCAAACACACGCTATGGGCCCACCGTGGCTTCACCGGGAACTGCGAGTGTGCCTCCGGCAGCAGAATGAAGCCTGGTTCAGGTACCGTGCAACAGGCGCAGGATATGAGGAATATCGATATATTCGGAATCATTGCACTGCACTAAAAAATACAAGAGAACCAGATTCCAGGAATAACTAGCAGCGGATTCAGTACAAGCACCAAAGCGATTGTATGCCTACCTCAGGCGAAGAATCAGAGCAACGTCTGCTCTCCCGAATTTCGCCAAAGATGGGACACTAACCGAAAAAGATGAGGACAAAGCGGAGATGCTGGCATTGCATTACGCCTCAGTGTACACCCCAGACTCCAGCACACTGACACATCTACTGGACACTGACACTGCGCCGAACTGGACCCCATTTACAATCGAAGAGGTGACACTGGAGCTGCGTCCACCAAAGTTTCATCAGTCATCTGGACCTGACGATGTGGATCCGCTTATCCTGAAGGAGCTGGCAGATGAACTTGCAGCGCGACCGTGCTATTTGTTCAATTTGTCATTCACTCAAGGGCGTTTACTGCGGCAGTGGAAGGACGCTGTCATTGTTCCACTGCCAAAAGTTGGGGAGGAGTGACCCTGGGAACTACCGACCAGTTGTCCTTACTAGCGTTGTGGGTAAAGTAATGAAGCGACTGGTGGCTGCACGGCTTCGGCAGCATTTGATGCGCCACGGTCACCTGTGCCACCAACAACACGGTTCCCGGCCGGGTTGCTCATGTCTCTCAAACCTGCCGCTTACGCGTGAATGCTGGACCGAGGAAAAGGCCAAAGGACAAGAAAGGGACGTTATCTTCGTGGACTTCAGCAAGGCCTTCGACAAGGTGCCGCACGACCTCCTTCTGCGAAAGCTGTCTAACCTAAGTGTAGGTGTGGTCATGCGGAATCGTCTGCGAGACTTCCTCATCGATCGGAAATTCTGCGTCCGTGTTGGCTAATCGCACTCTGCATGGTCTTCCGCTCCCAGTGGAGTCCCCCAATGCTCGGTTTTTGGTCCATCGCTCTTTGTGGTTTGTGAACGACCTGCCTGGTCAACTGTGCAGCCCATCCCTCATGTATGCGGATGACATCAAAATCTGGTGTACAATCAAGGATCCGAATGATCGAAGTTCTCTTCAAGCGGATTTGAATAACATGGCTCAGTGGGCGGATAACTGGGCTCTTCCAGTCAACACAGCAAAGTATGCTCACCTGCATTTTGGGTGTGCTGACTCAGAGGTAGTCCACAACTTCCATGGAACGCAGAAAATCTTGCGAACTAGACCTTGGTGTTATGGTTACGTCATCACTAAAGACCCGAGAAAACACCGATTGGGTCTATGCTAGCGCATGGAGCATTCTGGGGTCTATTCGGCGGTCTTTCAACCAGCTCACGATGAACGCTTCCAGGCTGCTGTATGCTTCCCATGTCAGACCACGACTTGAGTTTGGTGTGCGGCGACATACCCCTGCACGACTAGTGAACTGGATAAGTTGGAGTGTGTACAACGTGCTGCCACTAGACTCGTTGTTGGACTAGGCGGGACCAGCTATGAAGATCGTCCACAGGCTACTAGTCTTTTCCCAATTGCGTATCGACTCCTCAGGGGAGATCTCATTTGCCTGAGGTGAGAAGTGATATGGGCCCGGAGCTGCAACAGTAATTCCCTTTACGGACAGAGCACCGCATGCGGGGACACTCTCACGTTGCGGAAACTTCAGTCAGTTGGTCTTCCATTGGTCTACCGACTCTCGTGTAGGTCAACAACACTCTTGAATTCTTTTCCAGCGATTTTGGTGGAAGAGAAGACAGACACTGCTTTCAAACGGCGTCTGGATGAGCACCTGAAAGAGCTATGGAGGAACGAACACTTGTAATCGGACCTTCGACCCAGTGGTGATGGGGCTTACACGGTAACCCTTCCCTGAGCCCTCAATCCTGATGACTAAAGAATGAATCGTGTACTATGCGTATTCAACTAGTTAAAGTGTACAAGGTATTTTCGAGGTCAGTGTCACACATCACACTCGCCGCACCTTGAAGTGATCACAGAATTTCTGTAATCCAGTCTTGGCTTCGCACTCAGTAGTTCAAACCTTCGTAGGACTCGTTCATTCACGGGTAATTCTTCAGTGGCAGCTTGTTGTTCGACATTCTGTTCATCAGTAGTATAGAGTTGCTCAGTATCTAAAGGAACATTGTTAGACTCGGAATTTTTATCATGAAATGGAACAGAGTGACTTGGATAGTCAAACCTAATTTGGTCCATGTGTCTTCCGTGTATAGACAAATCATTCTTGTCAAGTAGTTGAAGCATTCTTCGACCTACAGACTTTAGGACAATTCCTGAGGAGGGTCTTAGGTCATTACTACGGAAAAATACAACTTAAGAAGAATTATTACACAATAAATTGGATCTCAGATTTCGACCTTTTGAAATTTTATCCAGTGTTTCTTTAGTGGAGGAATGAACAGAATTACGATATTGTAAAGAAAACAGATCAACACCTCTTTCAAGTTCAGAAAACGTGCATAGATTCAAAGCAGTAATAGCACTTTTAAGTGTTTTGACAAAATTCTCCGCTTGTCCATTAGAGCAGGGATGTCTAGGAGCAGTACACAAATGTTTGCGGCCAGTGCTGTGTAGCCATTCTTAAACACTTTTCGTGTGGAAATAACTGCCATTATCAGTAAAAAGTAAAACAGGAACACCCTCCCGACTGAAAACTTTGCGCAAAGCGTGAATACTAAAATCTGATGAGGGCGACCTAGTGAAAAATACCTCTGGCCACTTGGAGAAGGAGTCAATGACAACAAGAGCATACATTCCGTTTAGAAATAGACCACAATTATCAGTATGAACACGTTGCCAAGCTTCAGTTAAAACAGGCCACGAAACCCACTTGAATGGCAACTGTCGAGCTTTGTGGTGGCATTTAGGGCAGCTCTTTGCTTTGGAACATATGTTAGAATCCATGTTCGGTCACCGACAAGTCAATCTAGCCAATGACTTCATTTTTTCTATCCCAAGATGGCCAGAATGTAGGTCGTAAAGTACAGCTTTACACAACGTTCGGGGGAATAACAACTCTGTCATTCAAGCACAATAATCCATTAGGCGTAATTGAAAGTTCATCACGCCTAGTATAGTGATATGGAAATCGCTTCCGTGTCTGTGCGTTCCAACCTTCCCGCAAAGCAGTAATCACAGCAGATAAATAATGATGTGTATCACGAATAAGTTCTTGGCGGCTCACAGGGGGAGGCTGTACCAGTAATGAATCAGAAATGTCCTCTGGGTCCGAAGCGGGTAGTGATTGACGCAAAATGTAGTCCACGTTTCGGATGTATTTGGCACTGCGATGTTCAAATGTGTAATCATATGCACTGAGTGAGATACTCCAACGCTGATCCATAGCTGCAGATCTTATGGAAAGAGATTTCTCAGGATTAAAAATAAATTTCAAGGCCCTAGGATCGGTAACGATGGTGAAATAATGACCGAAAAGAAACTTCAGGAGGCGCTTGACTGCCCAATATACAGCTGAGGCTTCGCGATGAGTTTCAGCATAGCTTTGTTCAGCTGCTGTTGACCGGCGAGATACAAATAATTGGATGATCATTTTGTTCAAAAATCGCAGGAATTCCATCTGGTGATGCATCAGTAATAACAGTGGAATAAATTTTGGGATTGAATGAGTGAAGTACAGCATCAGTCTGCAGAAAATTTGGCAATTCACGTCAGAAATGTTCATGAACATCAGTCTAAACAAATTTGTCAGAAGAAGAGAGAAGAAATAGAGGTGAAGCTTTCAGACTGAAATGGGGAATAAATCTGGAGTAAAACTGTAGGGCTCCAATCAATGATCTGAGTTCGTGTATGTTTGACGGTGATTTGGCTTTCGTTAGAGAAAATAGACAGGTTGGGTCAGGTTTGTAG